TCAATGCCCACCAAACCCCTCCAGTATTTTTTGTTGGTCATGGGAGTTTGTGTGCCAAGTTTGGTTCAATTCCACCAGTGGTGTAGTTCAGAATAGTCTTTGATTTAGGCGAACTATAAATCCCAGTAACTACAACTCCCAAATGTTAAAGTCTATTTTCCTCAAACTCCATCTTTGGGCAAATGAAGCATTCATTGTTTGAGTCCACAGTGCTCTCTGGCTGTAGGTGAACTACAACTCCAAAACTCAAGGTCAATGCCCATCAAACCCTTCGAGTGTTTTTTGTTCACCATGGGGTTCTGTGTGACAAGTTTGGTTCAATTCCATTGTTGGTGGGGTTCAGAATGCTCTTTGATTATAGGTGAACTATAAATCCCAGTAACTACAACTCCTAAAAGCTAAGGTCTATTTTCCCCAAACTCCATCTGTGTTCATCTTTGGGCAAATGGAGCATTCGTGCCAAGTTTGGTCTAGATCCTTCATTGTTCGAGTCCACAGTGCTTTCTGGATGTAGGTGAACTACAACTCCAAAACTCAAGGTCAATGCCCACCAAACCCTTCTAGTGTTTTCTGTTGGTCATGAGAGTTCTGTGTGACAAATTCCATTGTTGGTGGAGTTCAGAATACTCTTTTGATTGTAGGTTAACTTTAAACCCAGCAACTACAACTCCCAAATGACAAAATCAACCCACTCCAACCCCACCAGTGTTCAAATTTGGGTGTGTCCGGTATGTATTGTCAAAGGCCTTCATGGCTGGAATCAATGGGCTGCTGTGTGTTTCCAGACGCATGCTGTCCTGACATTTCTCCCAGATCAGAGTGGAGTTCAGAATGCTCTTTGATTGTAAGTTAACTATAAATCCCAGCAACCTCAATCAATTTTTTTTAGTGATGGTCATTCCTCAGGTTAGTACGTGTCTTCTGGCTTTGTCCAGTGGATTTTGAGTTATGATGTCACTCAAAATCATATATATCTATATCTATGGCTGGATGGCTCTTTGTCAGGAGGGCTCAGATTACATTTTCTTGCCCTGGTGAAGAGAGTTGGACTGGATGGCCTTAAGTATTTTCTGTTGGTCATGGGAGTTCTGTGTGGGAAGTTTGCCCCAATTTTCTCGTTTTTGGGGTTCAGAATGACTTTGATTGTAGGTGAACTATAAATCCCAGTAAGTACAACTCCCAAATGTCAAGGTCTATTTCCCCCAAACTCCATGTGTGTTCATATTTGGGCGCATTGAGTGCTTGTGATTGTGCCTATTGTAATTTTATATTGCTATGTTTTCATTTATTTTATGTAATTACGTTGTTGTTTATTGCTTGCGTTTTTCGTTTTATTTTATGTAATTTTGTCTGGGCTTGGCCTCATGTAAGTTTAATAATAATAATAAAGTTTATTATTATTATTATTATTATTATTATTATTATTGTGCCAAGTTTGGTTCAAACCCATCATTGTTTGAGTCCACAGTGCTCTCTGGACGTAGGTGAACGATAACTCCCAAATTCAAGGTCAATGCCCACCAAACCCTTCCAGTATTTTCTGTTGTTCAGGGGAGTTCTGTGTGCCAAGTTTGGTTCAATTCCATCATTGATGGAGTTCAGAATGCTCTTTGATTATAAATCCCAGCAAGCACAACTCCCAAATGACAAAATCATATATTTTTTTTGAGTGATGGCCACTCCTTGTATTGTGAGACTTTTGTTGCCAAATCTGGTGTGAATTCGTTCATTGGTTCTTTTGTTTTTAAGGTACTCATTATGCACAGAGCATTTATATAGATATATACTAGCTGTCCCCTGCCACGCGTTGCTGTGGCCCACATGGAGGTACTGTTTGGGAGGTTTGTCCCAATTCTATCGTTGGTGGGGTTCAGAATGCTCTGTGATTGTAGATGAACTATAAGTCCCAGCAACTACAACTTCCAAATGTCAATATTCTATTTTCCCCAAACTCTACCAGTGTTCACATTTGGACATGTTGAGTATTCGTGTAGAGTTTGGTCCAGATGCATCATTGTTTGAGTCCACAGTGATCTCTGGATGAACTACAACTCCAAAACCAAAGGACACTGCCCACCAAACCCTTCCAGTATTTTCTGTTGGTCATGGGAGAACTGTGTGCCAAGTTTGGTTCAATTCCATCCTTGTTGGGGTTCAGAATGTTCTTTGATTGTAGGTGAACTATAAATCCCATCAACTACAACTCCCAAATGACAAAATCAGCTTTTTTGAGTGAAGGACATACATTGGGTTGACATTTGGTGTCAATTCGTCCAGTGGTTTTTGAGTTCTGTGAATACCACAAACGAACATTATTTTTTATTTACATAGATATATAGATAGATAATAATAATTTATATTTATTATTATAGATTATTATATATAATTATTATATATTATAAATTAATATTATATGCTAATAATATTGTATGTATACATATGTACTGTCGAAGGCTTTCATGGCCGTAATCACTGGGTTGTTGTAGGTTTTTTCGGGCTATATACATATACATATATAATAATAATAATAATAATAATAATAATAATAAATTATTGTTTTTAATTGCGTAGTTATGTTTTGTTAATGATATTGCCTTGTCTTTTTGAGTTATTGCTGTTGTTATTGTTTTACTATTGTATTTGGGCTCGGCCTCTTGTAAGCCGCACCGAGCCCTTCGGGAGATGGTAGCGGGGTACAAATAAAGGTTTATTATTATTATATAATTATTATATATTACAAATTAATATTATATGCTAATAATATTGTATGTATACATATGTATTGTCAAAGGCTTTCATGGCCGGAATCACTGGGTTGTTGTAGGTTTTTTCGGGCTATATATGTATATATAGATAATAATAATAATAATAAATAAAATTATTATTATTATAATTATATAATTATTATATATTATACATTAGTAATATATGCTAATAATATTGTATGTATACATATGTATGTGGAGCCCCCGGTGGCGCAGTGGGTTAAAACACTGAGCTTCTGAGCTTGTTGATCGAAAGGTCACAGGTTCAATTCCGGGGAGCGGCGTGAGCTTCCGCTGTCAGCCCTAGCTTCTGCCAACCTAGCAGTTCGAAAACATGCAAATGTGAGTAGATCAATAGGTACCGCTCCGGCGGGAAGGTAACTTTGCTCCATGCAGTCATGCCGGCCACATGACCTTGGAGGTGTCTACGGACAACGCTGGCTCTTCGGCTTAGAAATGGAGATGAGCACCACACCCCAGAGTCAGACATGACTGGACTTAATGTCAGGGGAACCTTTACCTTATACATATGTATTGTCGAAGGCTTTCATGGCCGGAATCACTGGGTTGTTGTAGGTTTTTTCAGGATAATATATAGATAGATAATAATAATAATAATAAATTAATTTATATTTATTATTATTATATAATTATTATATATTATAGATTAATATTATATGCTAATAATATTGTATGTATACATATGTATTGTTGAAGGCTTTCATGGCCAGAATTGCTTGGTTGTTGTAGGTTTTTTCGGGCTCTAGAACATGGCCATATAGCCTGAAAAAACCTACAACAACCCTTCTGGAAAAGATTGTGAAGGAAGCGGTCTGCAAACACTTAGAAACAAATGCAGTCATCGCTAATAGTCAACATGGATTTATCAAAAACAAGTCATGCCAGACTAATCTGATCTCTTTCTTCGATAGAGCTACAAGCTGGGTAGATGCAGGGAATGCCATGGATGTAGCATATCTGGATTTCAATAAGGCCTTCGACAAGTCCCCCATGACCTTCTGGCAAACAAACTAGTCAAATGTGGGCTAGGCAAAACTATGGTGAGGTGAATTTGTAATTGGTTAAGTGAACGAACCCAAAGAATGCTAACTAATGCTTCCTCTTCATCCTGGAAAGAAGTGACGAGCGGAGTGCCACAAGCAAGGTTCCGTCCTGGGCCCGTCCTGGGTCCTGTTCAACATCTTTATTAATCACTTAGATGAAGGGCTAGAATGCATGATCATCAAGTTGCAGACGACACCAAATTGGGATCGCCAATACTCCAGAGGACAGGAGCAGAATTCAAAATGATCTTGACAGATTAGAGAGATGGGCCAAAACTAACAAAATGAAGTTCAACAGTGACAAATGCAAGATACTCCACTTTGGCAGAAAAAATGAAATGCAAAGATACAGAATGGGGGGATGCCTGGCTCGAGAGCAGTACGTGTGAAAAAGATCTTGGAGTCCTCGTGGACAACAAGTTAAACATGAGCCAACAATGTGATGTGGCGGCAAAAAAAGCCAATGGGATTTTGGCCTGCATCAATAGGAGCATAGTGTCTAGATCTAAGGAAGTAATGCTACCCCTCTATTCTTTGGTTAGACCACATCTGGAATATTGTGTCCAATTCTGGGCACCACAATTCAAGAGAGATATTGACAAGCTGGAATGTGTCCAGAGGAAAGCGACTAAAATGATCAAGGGTCTGGAGAACAAGCCCTATGAGGAGCGGCTTAGGGAACTGGGCATGTTTAGCCTGAAGAAGAGAAGGCTGAGAGGAGATATGATAGCATGTATAAATATGTGAGAGGAAGCCACAGGGAGGAGGGAGCAAGCTTGTTTTCTGCTTCCTTGGAGACTAGGACGCGGAACAATGGCTTCAAACTACAAGAGAGGAGATTCCATCTGAACATGAGGAAGAACTTCCTGACTGTGAGAGCCATTCAGCAGTGGAACTCTCTGCCCCGGCAGTGTGGTGGAGGCTCCTTCTTTGGAAGCTTTTAAACAGAGGCTGGATGGCCATCTGTGAATGCAATATTCCTGCTTCTTGGCAGAATGGGGTTGGACTGGATGGCCCATGAGGTCTCTTCCAACTCTTTGATTCTATGATTCTATGTATACACATTTTATAAGCTTCTCTGAGTTCCGGACTGCTGGTACATAGCCTTTGCTATGGCTCTCTCACCATATTGTTGTTGGGGGCAAGACAAAAGAAACACGCATAGGCATACTTTTTGGAATTTTTTTGAAAAAGGCATTCAACTGCTTTTATTTCAAAGTGGCTGCTGAGCACTCCCAACCTTGGAAAGGAACTAACTCAAAGCGCAGGACCGGCCGAAGGGCCAGCCGGGGAGGGGGAGACGCAGGTTGGCTGGCTGGGCAGGTGGGACAAATTTCCGTTTGCTTCTGTAGAAACGTTGGTGCCTCGACCGCGGGTCTTCCCCTTCCCTCCGAAGTGGCAGAGACGGCAAGCCAAGGGCGGCAAAAAAATCCGGCTCTTAGCACCCAGGGAAACCAGCAGGTCCGGATCAGGTCCAACGAAACAGGCCGGACTGGCCAGTTACAGGCTGCAAGGGCAAAGGAGACAAGACAGCCGTCACCGGTGGGGCCCCACTAGCTCTTCAATTCCCCATGCTTCCCTTCAAGGAGCTTTGCCACAGCACAGTCAGTATGACGAGAGGAAGACGTGGAGAATAATTTGGCATATAGAGAAAAAGGAAGAGAATGGCAGGCAGGAACAATGAGAACCGTAAGGGATTACAGGGAATAAGCTCAATATGCTGCCATTGTGAAGTAAACAAAGGGTGGTGCACCCACTTGTGGTGGGAATGCGCAAAGACAATCATTTTCTGGGGAAAGAAATAGTAAAGAAAATGGAGAAATTACCATATATACTTGAGTATAAGCTGAGTTTTTCTGCCCTTTTTTAGGTTGAAAAAGCCCCCCCTGTGCTTATACTCAAGTCAAGGTTATTTATTATTTTACTCTCTTAATTAATTTTATTTTTACATGCATTATTTTTCTCTATTTATTATTGCATATATTATTTTGCACTATTATTATTACATATATTACTTTATTATTATTCCATTTATTATTTTACTCTATTATTATTATTCCATTTATTATTTTACTCTATTTATTATTCTTATTATTATTCCATTTATTGTTTTACTCTATTCATTAGGCTTGGGCGATCAAGAAAAAAAATGGTTCTAAACTCGTTTCGTTTCTAGGGTGCACTAGTGTTTCTAAATTCTGAGGACTTCCGAAATTTAAGATTTAAAAATTTTGAAATTTACAAAATTTCGTAAAATTACAAATCAATTCGTTAATGGCGGACGCGATTGCGCAATATGCTAAAAAAAATCTCCAAATGGGACAGGGGGCACTTCTGAAGCTTCCCTCTCTCTCTGTTGTTGACTGTTGGTGTGAGAAAACAAACAACATATTATATATATTATATATTATTATATTATATATAATTATATATATATATATTATAATATATATAATATTATATATATTATAATATATATTATATTATATTATATTATAATATAATAATATAGTAATAAAATATATAATATAATAATATAATATTATATTATTATACTATATATTATATTATAGTATTGTATATTAGAGTGAGGCAAGAAGCATGAGGAAAGAGGAGGGAAGCAGCAGAGCAAAAGGGACCGGAAGTGGGGTAAATGCGAGATTGTAAAACTTGCACCAGACATACGAAAATAATTACGAAATAATTACGAAAATTGGAAAAATTGTTTCGATTCTTAATTACTCCTCACACTATTCCTGCATGGTTCGATATTGGATCGTAAGCTAATTTAAATACGAATTAATAACGAATTACGAAATTAACGAACTGGATCGCCCAAGCCTACTATTTATTATTCTTATTATTACATTTATTGTTTTACTCTATTATTATTATTCCATTTATTATTTTACTCTATTTATTATTCTTATTATTACATGTATTATTATACACTATTATTATTACATTTATTGTTTATAATTATTATTATTCCATTTATTGTTTTACTCTATTATTATTCCATTTATTATTTTACTCTACTTCTTATTACATTTACTCTATTATTATTCCATTTATTATTTTACTCTATTTATTATTTCATTTATTATTTTACTCTATTATTATTGGAAGGATACGCAAGCACATTTATATTGAAGAAGGTTAAGACGAATGGTTTAATCTGAGTTGGAGACTTATCTTAAATTACAGTTTTATCTAAATATTCAAAAAAATTTAACCACCTGATGCCTCAATTAATGTAATTTTATTGGTATCTATTTTTATTTTGAAATTTACCACTAGCTGCTGCCTTTCCCACACTCAACTGATACTCGAGTCAATCTGTTTTCCCAGTTTTTTGTGGTAAAATTAGGTACCTCGGGTATATACTCGAGTATATACAGTATTTAAATTAGCAATTCAAGTGAATAATGGGAATATAAGGAACAAGAAGATGAATGCAAAAAAATTATTCAAAACAACAATTTTAGCAAGAAAGGCAGTAATAGCATAGCGGTGGAAAGATGAAAAAAATGAGTATGGAAAATTGAAATAATTATTTGTTTCATCAGGTTCAATTAGACATTATAGCATGTCTAACGCGAGATGATGTGCAGGAGGATAAGAGAGAATACATTAAAGAGAAACGGTTGACCTACATGGAATGGATAAAAAGTGGTGACGCCGATGTAAATACTGAACAGAGACTAAGAACATTGCGCTCATGGTTAAAATTAAAGATATGGAGACGTTCCTTTGCCCGCCGCCTCTCTTGCACCCACCTCTCCTTGTGATCTCTGCTTTCTTCCTCTTCCTCCTCATCCTCTTCGTCCTCTTCCTCCTCTTCCTCAGTGGTGGTTTTGTCCTTCCCCTCATCCTCGGCTTTGGGCTTCTCGGAGGGGTTGCCGCTCCCGCTGCTATTCTTCTCCGGTTCTCCTTCCGGGAGGCTGGGCTTTTGCTTCTCGCCCGCCTCCTTGGGGGCATCTTCCCCACTGGCCTTCTCCTCGCCAGCATCCTCCTGGCCCTCGGCTTCCTTGAGGCGCTTGGGGGAGGAGTCCTAAGGCAATGGAAAGGAGCACAGAAACAGCCAAGCTCAGCAACGTGGACGAAATTACAACAACAACAACAACAATTTATTTATATTCCGCCCTTCTCTCCCTGGGGACACAGAGCAGATTATTCTAAACAGATACGAGGAAAAATGTAATGCCTTGTTACAATGCAATCAGACACACAAATACAAACAAAGGCAAAGGCTTCTCCTTTCATTTTCGGCTTTGGAGGCCTTGTTACTATGCAATCAGAGACATAAACACTAAAAAAGGCAAAGGCTTCTCCTTTCATTTCCAGCCTTGGAGGTCGTGTTACAATGCAATCAGACACACAACCAAAAACAAAGGCAAAGGCTTCTCCTTTCATTTCTGGCTTTGAAGGCCTTGTTATAATGCAATCAGACACACAAAAACTAACAGTCTGGGAGTTCTCCTAGACTCATCGCTGAGCCTGGAGCCCCAGGTCTCGGCGGTGGTCAGGGGAGCTTTTGCACAACTAAAACTTGTGCGCCAGCTGCGCCCGTACCTTGGGAAGTCTGACTTGGCCACGGTGGTCCACGCTTTGGTTACATCCCGTTTAGACTACTGCAACGCTCTCTACGTGGGGTTGCCTCTGAAGACTGCCCGGAAGCTGCAGCTAGTCCAAAGCTCGGCAGCCAGACTACTAACGAGTGCTGGGTACAGGGAGCACACCACTCCGCTGTTACACTAGCTCCATTGGCTGCCAATTAGCTTCCGAGCACAATTCAAAGTGCTGGTGTTAACCTATAAAGCCCTAAACGACTCCGGCCCTGTTTACCTCTCCGAACGTATTCTCCCCTATGAACCATCAAGATTATTAAGATCGTCTGGAGAGGCCCTGCTCTCGGTCCCACCGGCCTCACAAGCGCATCTGGTGGGGACGAGGGACAGGGCCTTCTCGGTGGTGGCCCCATGACTCTGGAACTCTCTCCCACCATAGATCAGAACCGCCCCTTCTATCCTGACATTTAGGAAACAGGTGAAGACATGGTTATGGAGACAGGCTTTCGCTGAGTGAGACAACACCTAAGACATGGATGGAAGATGATGTATAATTGATTTTAGTATGACGACTGATCACTGTAGTTTTGAATATATTTGTTGTTTTAATGTGTTATTGTAATATGAACTATGATGTTTTACCAATTGTATGTGTTTTTATGGTTGGAAACCGGTCTGAGTCCCTCAAAGAGATGAGAAGGTCGGTATATAAAACTTTGAAATAAATAAATAAATAAATAAATAATAGCAAAGGCAAAGGCTTCTCCTTTCATTTCTGGCTTTGGAGGCCTTGTTGCAATGCAATCAGACACATAAACACTAACAAAAGCAAAGGCTTCTCCTTTCATTTCTGGCTTTGGAGGCCTTGTTATAATGGAATCAGACACACAAAAACTAACAAAGGCAAAGGCTTCTCCTTTCATTTCTGGCTTTGGAGGCCTTGTTGCAACGCAATCAGACACATAAACACTAACAAAAGCAAAGGCTTCTCTTTTCATTTCAGGCTTTGGAGGCCTTGTTACTATGCAATYGGACACAAACACAAACAAAGGCAAARGCTTCTCCTTTCATTTACTGCTTTGGAGASCTTGTTACTATGCAATCAGACACATAAACACAAAGGCAAAGGCTTCTCCTTTCATTTCCGGCTTTCGAGGCCTTGTTACAATGCAATCAGACACACAAACACAAACAAAGGCAAAGGTTTCTTCTTTCATTTCCAGCCTTGGAGGCCTTGTTACAATGTAATCAGACACACAAACACTAACAAAGGCAAAGGCTTCATCTTTCATTTCCGGCTTTGGAGGCCTTGGTACTATGCAATCAGAGACATAAACACAAACAAAGGCAAAGGCTTCTCCTTTCATTTACAGCTTTGGAGGACTTGWTATAATGGAATCAGACACACAAAAACTAACAAAGGCAAAGGCTTCTCCTTTCATTTCCGGCTTTCGAGGACTTGTTACAATGCAATCAGACACACAAACACAAACAAAGGCAAAGGCTTCTCCTTTCATTTCCGGCTTTCGAGGACTTGTTACAATGCAATCAGACACACAAACACAAAGGCAAAGGCTTCTCCTTTCATTTCCGGCTTTCGAGGCCTTGTTACAATGCAATCGGACACATAAACACAAACAAAGGCAAAGGCTTCTCCTTTCATTTCCAGCTTTGGAGACCTTGTTACTATGCAATCAGACACATAAACACAAACAAAGGCAAAGGCCTCTCCTTTCATTTTTGGCTTTGGCGGCCTTGTTACTATGCAATCAGAGACATAAACACAAAGGCAAAGGCTTCTCCTTTCATTTCCAGCTTTGGAGGCCTTGTTACAATGCAATCGGACACATAAACACAATCAAAGGCAAAGGCTTCTCCTTTCATTTACAGCTTTGGAGACCTTGTTACTATGCAATCAGACACAAACACAAAGGCAAAGGCTTCTCCTTTCATTTCCGGCTTTCGAGGCCTTGTTACTATGCAATCATATAAGACACATAATCACAAACAAAGGCAAAGGCTTCTCCTTTCATTTCCGGCTTTGGAGGCAGTGTTCATCTCTGTCTCTGGGAGAGGTGCTGTTTGTTAGAGAACACTACCCTAAAATATATAGAAGAGTATCCAAAAACAAACAGGATACTGAAAGTGTGAAGTGCCATGTGATGACACATGGATTCGGACAGCCAACCTTCAGGTCAGCAGTTCAGTAGCAGAAGGGTTGAACCCGTTGCGCCAGTACAGCCCTTTATTATTGGCAGACTGCAGAAGGTGCCAATGCCATCAGGGCAGGTCACCAAAGGCAAGGTACACACAAGTCACAGGGGTTCATTTTTTTAAATGGGGAACAGATTTCTGCATCTCCGTCCCATTTCAGAAGAGAAACAGGAGGAATATGCAAGGCAAAAACCTCCACTTTAAGTACCTCCAGGGTGCCTTCTGCTTTCCTTTTATTCCCGGCTGCCTTCTCGTTCTTCTCCTTGGACTGCTCATCGATCACCAGGTTGCCCTCCTCGTCGCTGCTACCCTCGGGGCTGCCTTTCTTGCCACTCTCCCGCTCGCCCTTGGCATCTTCCGTGGCAGAGGCCTTCTTCTGGGTGGGCTGAGGAACAGAAAGAATGAGATGGAGACCTGCGCACATGCGATTGCACACCCTGCATGGGCGAAAAGTGCCAGACTGGGCCAAATCAAGACAGGACTCAGTGTTGCACTCCAAGGCTGGGAATTACCTCTGTACTTAACACACACTCCAGCCCAAAGAATATAATGAAGAATATATGAAAATCAATTCAGCAAAATAGTATTAAAAAATCGAAAGTCCAAATATCAGGATAATTCCACAGAAAGTACATGAGTAGCATCAAAAATCAGGAATACAGAAGCAGAATAAATCCAAAACATGAGATTCAAACACTTGTGTTGGAGGGGTTACACTCCCCCTGAAGCCACAGGTCTGCAGTTTGGGAGTCCTCTTGGACTCATCGCTCACGCTTGAGGCTCAGGCATTGGCGGTGTCCAGGAGGGCTTTTGCACAATTGAGACTTGTGCGCCAACTGCGACCGTAACTCGCGAAGGCTGATCTGGCCGGGGTGGTCCATGCCTTGATCACCTCTAGATTGGATTACTGCAATGCGCTCTACGTAGGGCTGCCCTTGAAAATGGCTCGGAAGTTCCAACTGGTCCAATGGGCAGCAGCCAGGATGTTAACCGGGGCTCATTAGAGAGAGAGGTCAACCCTCCTGTTTAAGGAGCTCCACTGGCTGCCGTTTATTTTCCGAGCCCAATTTAAGGTGCAGGTGCTTACCTACAAAGCCCTGGTTTGGGATCACCCTACCTGCGTGACCGCATCTCCGTCTATGAACCCTTCGGTCATCTGGAGAGGCCCTGCTCGTGATTCCGGCCGCGTCGCAAGCGCGTTTGGTGGGGACTCGAGACAGGGCCTTTTCTGTGGTGGCCCCCCGACTCTGGAACGCCCTCCCAAGAGATCTTAGACAGGCCCCTACACTGGCAGTCTTCAGAAAGAACTTGAAGACCTGGCTGTTCCGATGTGCCTTCTCAGATTAGGAAATCTCCACTACCAAGTCCCATAAGCACTTTAGTAGAACTAAGATTACTGCACACTGCACACTGCACTTACCCTATAATCCTACATACCTCCTGTCACATCAGTACTTTTAATCTTGTACCCATTACTCTGGCCCGGCCCAGTTTTATAGTGTCTTGATGTATTGTTTACTGTTTGTTGTTTATTCTGCTTAACTGTTTTTAACTTGCTTTAGGTATTGTATTTGTATTGTGTTTTGAGGCCTTGGCCTATGTAAGCCGCAACGAGTCCTTCGGGAGATGCTGGCGGGGTACAAATAATAATAATCATCATCATCATCATCATCATCATCATCATCATCATCATCATGAAACATAAAACATGAACCAAAAGGTAACACGGAGCATGGAACTAGAAATCTCTTGACTAGACAGAAATTCTATACTCAAACACCAGTGTTGCCTTGACTAGCGAAACAGCCTGCTGGTCTAGCTAATAGAGATAGAAAATCATGACTTCTCCCATGATTAGGAGAAGTACTTCTTGGCTAATAGGCATCTTGACCTTTGTAAACTCTCCTGAGAAGCTCTGTGTTGACGGAACATAAATCTCCTATCTAACTGCTCATTAGTCTGTCCACCTGGACTTTCATTTCCATTCTGAGCTCAGTTTATTTATTTATGACATTTATATGCTGCCCTTCTCACCCCGAATGGAACTCAGAGCAGCTTACAAAATATATATACATGCAATATATTATTAAATTATTAGCATATAATAATAATAATAATAATAATAATAATAATAATAATAACCCATTTTCCTATTTCCAACAGACCTCACTACCTCTGAGGATGCTTGCCATAGATGCAGGCGAAACGTCAGGAGAAATGCCTCTAGAACATGGCCCTATAGCCCAAAAAAACCTACAAGAACCTAATAATAATAATAGTACACTTTATTTATAACCCGCTACCATCTCCCCAAAGGGGACTTGGTGCAGCTACCATGAGGCCAAGCCCAAAATAAAAAATAATAAACACACAGTAATGAAATACATCATAACAAAATATAAAATAACAAAATCAACAATATAAAACAGCATATTGAAACCAGACACGGAGGGCGGGCCAAATGTGAGAGGTAAAATGTTAAAAAAGTGAAAACCCTGGGTGAGATAGGGATAAAAGTGCATTTGTAGGAAAGGAGCCCAATAGGGAGGAACCATGGGATTTAGCCATTTTTGGGGGGGGGGGGGAGATGCTTTATTCTGATATAGGACAATATCAATATTATATATTACTATAATGTACTATACCATTATATTGTAATATTATTAGTAATATTACATGTAATATAAATATATAATTATAATATCATATTATTATTATTATTAGTAGTTGTAGTAGTAGTAGCAGTATTATATTGCATCACATTATAATATTATGAATATTATATGTATATAAGGTAAAGGTAAAGGTTGTCCCCTGACATTAAGTCCAGTCATGTCTGACTCTGGGGTGTGATGCTCATCTCCATTTCTAAGCTGAAGAGCCAGCGTTGTCCGTAGACACCTCCAAGGTCATGTGGCCGGCATGACCGCATGGAGAGCCGTTACCTTCCTGCCGGAGCAGTACCTCTTCATCTACTCACATTTGCACGTTTTCGAACTGCTAGGTTGGCAGAAGCTAGGGCTGACAGCGGAAGCTCACGCCGCTCCCTGGAATCGAACCTGCGACCTTTCGATCAACAAGCTCAGCAGCTCAATGCTTTAACCCACTGCGCCACCGGGGGCTCCAGTAGTACTAGTAGTAGTATTATATTGAATCACATTATAATATTATAAATATTATATGTATATAAGGTAAAGATAAAGGTTGTCCCCTGACATTAAGTCCAGTCATGTCTGACTCTGGGGTGTGGTGCTCATCTCAATTTCTAAGCCGAAGAGCCGGCGTTGTCCGTAGACACCTCCAAGGTCATGTGGCCGGCATGACAGAGCTTTTTCTATTTCGGCCCCTGCCTTGTGGAATTCCTTGCCGCCCTATATGAGAGCCATTCGTGAGTCGGGGCCTTTTACTTGGCTTTTTACTAGAGCTTTTGATCATTGTTAATTTTATCAATATCTGTATGTATGTATTTTTATCCTTTACAATTTTAGCTTGTAAATCGCCTAGAGCATCTTGGATGGAGGGCGATTAATAAGTAATTAAATGATAATGGTGATGATGATGATGACTGCATGGAGTGCCCTTACCTTCCTGCCGGAGCAGTACCTCTTGATCTACTCGCATATGCATGTTTTCAAACTGCTAGGCTAGCAGAAGCTGGAGCTGACAGCGGAAGCTTATGCCGCTACCTGGATTCGAACCTGCAACCTTTCGGTCAAGAAGCTTAGCAGCTCAGTGGTTTAACCCACTGTGCCACCGGGGGCTCCATGTTGTATAATGTAATATTATATTATATTACAATATAATGTAATATTATATTACATTATATTATATTATTAGTTCTGTTTCTGACCTTGCGTCCCTTTCTGGAATGTGGCCTTCAGACAGAGACCACTCATTTTCAGGGTTTAAATCTCTTGCTGGCTCTCCTGCTGACTTGTAGACCCAGAATCCCTAGCATCATTGGGCTGACTAACAGACCCAGAATCCCCAGAAAGATCAGGTGTAAGCACAATTAAAGGCTGGACTACAACACTCAGCCTGAGTTAAGAGCAGAGCCCCTTTGCTTCTTCCTCTCTCCTCTTTGGTGTGGGCCCCACATACGAGTCCCAAAGGGGTGATTGATGGGTGCACGTTTAAAGGGCAACAAAGCAAGGGTGTTCTCAACACAACGAACGCTGGAAAAACATCACCGTGGTCATTCAGAGACACCCCACCCCCCTCCTCACAGAAGCCTGCTTCTGGAGGCCAAGTCCTACCTGGTATCCCGAGGCCTTGACGGTGGGGTTGTTCTCAATCTCCCAGAGGCCTTCGCTGAAGCCTTTCCGCTTGTTGGCCTTGCCAAACTTGGCCTTGCACTCCTCGTACGGGAAGAGGTCTTTGGGTCCCAGGAATGCCCTATTCGGAGGAAGAGGCAGTGGGTCATGGCCTGGACTGACCCTCCCAGCAAGGAGGAGAAGGGGGCACCTCAAGGTACATGAGGCCCCCCAGAATAGCTGGAAAGGGGACCCCAAAGCAAGTGGTTATCCAGCATAGGATGCAATACATTAGGAAATGCCAGCATGATTGATGGCCGGCTTCTGCTATGGCCCAAAGGCCACTTAGGCTCGATTTGGGGTCCCAACTGTCCTCGTGACCCTCCTTAGCATCCAGCATACTCACGTTTCATGAGTCCCAAAGAAGAAGACTTGGTATTTGTTGGAAGCCGATTTGACGGCCGACTCCGGCATCTCGTCAATCTGGGGAGAAGAACAAGAGAACAAGTGAAAAACTGCAAGGTTGGGACGCTATATTTATATTTATTATTTTCTTTGTTCATTTTTTTCCTTTTGTTCATTTGTTTTGTTTTCTACATACACTATGAAACAATTAAAAAAAATTTTTTAAATTATTCACTAGCTGTCCCCTGCCACGCATTGCTGTGGCTCAGTCTGTGTATATGTGCTTGTGTGTGTATATATATATATGTTTCTATGTGTGTTTCATCCTTGAAGTGACTGGACTGACCTTGAGGGAGCTGGGGGTGGTAACGGCCGACAGGGAGCTCTGGCGTGGGCTGGTCCATGAGGTCATGAAGAGTCGGAGACGACTGAACGAATGAACAACAACAACATGTGTGTTTGCATGTATATATATATATGAGTGTCTATATATGTGTGTTTGCATGTATATATATATGAGTGTCTATATATGTGTGTATGTATTTGTGTGTTTATATGTGTACATGCATATTGTGTATATGTGTGTGCTTCTCTACATGCATATTTGTGTGTTTATATGTGTACATGCATATTGTGTATATGTGTGTGCTTGTCTATATGCATATTTGTGTGTATATATGTGTGTATGTATGTGCATATGTATATTTGTGTGTGCATGTGTATATTTGTGTGTGCATATATATATGTATGTGTGTATATGTGTATATTTGTGTGTTTGTGCATATATATACGTGTGGGTATAAATGTGTGCATGTGTATATGTATATGAGTGTATGTGTATATGTATATATGGTGTATTTTGTGTGGTTTTAAGTCTGTTCCGCTGAGGTTTTGTGAGTGTGTGTGTGTGTGTGTTTTTAGGGTTGATGGCGCAACCCGGGATTGTGGCGCAGCTGGCTGAGTGTCAGCTGCATTAAGATCACTCTGACCAAAAAGACCATGAGTTCGAAGCCAGCCTGGGTTCGAGTGGGTTTCCAACCAATTGTGTGTAGCCTGTTGTCGACCTTTGCAACCCGAAAGACAGTTGTATCTGTCAAGTAGGAAAATTAGGTACCACCTTAAAGTGTGGGGAGGCTAAATTAACTGATTTATGAGGTCATAAAGAAGACTCCAGCAAAGCATTCCAGCGGGAAGCATGCGGGGAATGCGGAAGTGCTTAATCAGCGTCGCAGATGGACGATGAAAGCGACAGCTTCCCTGGCGGCCAGAAAACTTAAATAGCCTCTGTGTATGTCTGTATATGTTGTATGTTAAAATTGGCATTGAATGTTTGCCATATATGTGTACACTGTAATCCGCCTGAGTCCCCTGCGGGGTGAGAAGGGCGGAATATAAATGCTGTAAATAAATAAATAAATAAATAAATAAATATAAATAAATAAATATGTGTATATTTGTGTGTGCATGTGTATATGTATGTGTGTATATGTGTATATTTGTGTGTTTGTGCATATATATACGTGTGTGTATGAATGGGTGCATGTGTATATGTATATGAGTGTATGTGTATATGTATATGTGGTGTATTTTGGGGGAGTTTAAGTCTGTTCTGCTGGGGTTTTGTGAGTGTGTGTGTGTATGTGTTTTTAGGGTTGATGGTCACTTGTTGGCCTGAAAGGTGTATTGTGTCCAAATTTGGTGTCAATTCGTCCAGTGGTTTTTGAGTTATGTTAATCCCACAAACATTACATTTTTATTTATATAGATTATTTTAGTAGTTATACACTATTTTAAGACTTTATAAACTTCAAATAAAGTGAAGGAAAGGAAGGAAAGGCCCTTCAAGGCAGAGAGCACAGCCAAGTTTCGGGGGGGATTGCCCTGGGAATCTGGAAATTGTAGTTCAACTTTATCCAGAGAGCACAGCCAATGATGGATCTGGACCAAACTTAGCACAAAGACCCAACATGGCCAACTGCGAATACTGTCAGGGTTTGGGGGCGATTGCCCTGGGAATCCGGGAATTGTAGTTCACCCTTATCCAGAGAGCACAGCCAATGACAGATCTGGACCAATTTTACATGATATTACCTAATATCTCAAAACAAACAATGTCTTCTTCTAATAACCCAGGCACCATCAGGTCCCCAAGCTAGTTCATAATAATCAAGAACTTTTTGGTTTGGCAATGGCTTGCTTGACTTTAAGACCGGCTGATAATCTCCAATAATAATAATAATAATAATAATAATAATAATAATAATAATAATAATAATAATAATAATATTGCAATTCATTTTTATTGGTGAATGACATTGACATAACATACACATAGACAAATGTTGACATTAATATGTGAAATATATATCCAATATTATGGGCTATATTCTCTGCCCAGGAGGACCCATGGAGGAGGGCCATCGGCTCCTGTCTAGACTGAGATGGCAGGCTGAGCTCAGCACATTCTGCAGCCGGAGAGGGAGGGACACACAATAGGGGCCTCTCCCCATTCCCTTATATCTGGACTAGCAGCAACTCTAGCATTGCACACACACCCCACACCCTAAATGCATGCTTGTTTTGCTCCTCTCTAAAGGGGGAAATGGTTTCCCATTGGCAATTTATTTATTTACGACATTTATATGCCCCCCCTTCTCACCCCGAAGGGGACTCAGAGCAGCTTACAATATAATACATTATATTATATTATTACCATAGCACAATATTAGTATTATATATTACTATATTGTATTATACCACTTTAATGTAATATTATCAGTAATATTACATGTAATATAAAATATATAATTATAAAATTGTATTATTATTTGTATTATACTCTATCACATTATAATATTATCAATTATATATTTTTTTTCTGTCGTGTCAGGAGTGACTTGAGAAACTGCAAGTCGCTTCTGGTGTGAGAGAATTGGCCGTCTGCAAGGACGTTGCCCAGGGGACGCCCGGATGATTTTGATGTTTTTATCATCCTTGTGGGAGGCTTCTCTCATGTCCCCGCAATGCGGAGCTGGAACTGATAGAGGGAGCTCATCCGCCTCTCCCCGGATTCGAACCTGCGACCTGTTGGTCTTCAGTCCTGTCGGCACAGGGGTTTAACCCACTGCGCCACCGGGGGCTCTTAATTATATATTACAACAACAATATCTATATAAATAAAAATGTAATGTTCGTTTGTGGGATTAACAGAACTCAGAAACCACTGGGGGAATTGACACCAAATTTGGACACAACACACCTACTAACCCAAGGAGTGATCATCACTCATAAAAACACTGAAAAACACAACAGACGAGACTTTAAAAGTAAAAAAAAACCCAAAAATACATTACAACGCACGCGCAAAACCACATATATATACACAAACACACATATATACACACATATATGCATATACACACACAAAACACATACACAGAAAGGAGGAAGGAAGGAAGGAAGGAGAGAAAGATGAGAAGGAAGGAGGGAAGGAAGAAAGAAGGAAGAGGAAGGAAGGAGAGAAGGAAGAGAAGAGGGAAAGAGGAGAAGAGAGAGAAAGAAGGAAGAAAGGAAGGAAGGAGAGGAAGAGGAAGGAAGAAAGAGGGAGAGAAGGAGGAGAGAAGAGGGAAAGAAAGGAGGGAAGGAGAAGAAAAGAAAGAGAAGGAAGGAAGGAAGGAAGGAAGGAAGGAAGGAAGGAAGGAAGGAAGGAAGGAAGGAAAGAGGGAAAGAGGAAAGAAAAAGGGGAAAGAAAGAATAGAAAAGAAAAAGAAGCAGAAGAAAGAAGACAAGAAAGAAGGGTAGAGAAGAGAAGGAGAGAAAGAGGGAAAGAAGAGGAAAGAAGGAGGGAAGGAGAGAAAGAAGGAAAGAAAGGTAAAGAAGGAAGGGAGGAGAGAAGGAGGAGAGAATGAAATAAAAGTGAAAGAGGGAAGGGAAGGAGAGGAAGGGAAGAAGAGAGGGATGGAAGGAAGGAAGGAAGGAGGAAGGAAGGAAGGAAGGAAGGAAGGAAGGAAGGAAGGAAGGAAGGAAGAAAGAGGGAAAGATGGAGGAAAAAGAGCAAAGGAAGCGAGAAAAGAAACAGGTAGAGAAGGGGGAAAGAAGAAGAGGGAAGGAAAGAGGGAAGGAAGGAAGGGGAGGGGAGAAAGAAAAGAGAGAAAGAGGGAGGGAAGGTTGGCCACAGCAACGCATGGCGGGTACAGTTAGTAATATTATATAATATTAATATTATGAATGATGTATTAGTACTATGCTAATAATATAGTATGTTTTATGTACATATGACTTGTAAGCCATTCTGAGTCCCCTTCGGGGTGAGAAGGACGGCATATAAATGTAAATAAATTAATAAATAAAATTATATTATATTATTAGCACAGTACAGGAGACAAGGTAGAACTGGTGGTAGTGGCAGGAAGTATAGGACAGAATGGACGTTCCCATTAACCAGCAAAGGTCTCAACTGGGGCAGGCTACAGACTGCTTATAGCAGTGGTTCTCAGCCTTCCCAATGCAGAGACCCCTTAACATAGTTCCTCATGTTGTGGTGACCCCCAACCATAACATTATTTTCGTTGCTACTTCGTAACTGTCATTTTGCCACTGTTAGGAATCACAATGTAAATATCTGGTATGCAGGATGTATTTTCATTAATTGGACCAAATTTGGCACAAATACCCCATATGCCCAAATTGGAATTGACTGGTGGGATTGGGGGGGATTGATTGTGCCATTTGGGAGTTGTAGTTGCTGGGATTTATAGTTCACCTACAAAGAGCATTCTGAATTCTATCAACGATGGAGTTGAATCTATCTTGGCACACAGAACTCCCATGACCAACAGAAAATACTGGAAGGGTTTGGTGGGCATTGACCTTGAGTTTTAGAGTTGTAGTTCACCTACATCCAAAGAGCACTGTGGACTCAAATAATGATAGATATGGACCAAGTTTGGCATGAATACTCAATATACCCAAATGTGAACACTGGTGGAGTTTGGGGAAAATAGAACTTGACATTTGGGAGTTGTAGTTGCTGGGATTTATAATTCACCTAAAATCAAAGAGCATTCTGAACTCCACCA